TTGGTTTTTGGATATAGTAATGTTTTCAGAAACGTAGCGCTTGTGTGTGCAACTGAAGTGCAATGTTAGCAGAGATTGATCGGTTGCTGGCTGGGCCACCAGCAGCCGGTGTGATTGGGATTGTATCGGAAGATCTGAGTGCACCGGATTTCCTGCTTATGAGTATCACCAGTTACGCGATGAAGAGGCAAATCAAAGTGATCTACCTATCTGCCACCAGAAACGAGCATGCTGTGAGGTAAAACTCTGTTCACTTTGCTACTGTGACGTTGAAAATTGAAAAATAAGAGATTTCGTATTGGTATTTGATCAACTGAATCAAAATTTTTTTGTCGGGGTCGCTATAGGGTTGAAACTAATACGTCCTCATGTCATCATCGTCTGTTCTTATCGCTTACGGAATGTCAGCTTTAAATAAATATTAACTTTGGCGTGCACACACACACACACATGGAACAGGCGATAGGTACTAACTGGAGGTATGCAGTCCAGCATCGAAGGGCCGTGGCACAGCTGCGCTCGGCGTGTGGGAGCATCCTAGTAACATCACTGACAGGGGATACCCGGATTAGCAGCCTCAGTAGTCTTAGTATTTTTGGTACTAACTTTGGTCAGCACAGGCATAGCTGCACTCGGCGTGGGAGAGCATTCCAGTAATATCACTGACATCATCCCCTTCCCCTCACTCCTCCGTCATTGCCCCTCACAAACACACATACAAACACACACACATACACACACACTACACACACACAAACACGCACACACAAACACACACACACACATGAACTGCCCAGACGTCGACATTAAACATTTTCGGGGAAGGAAAACGACCATTTTGACGTATCTGAACATAGAGCGGCCAAATACGCCGTAGAACCGACAAATACAAGATGGTGCATGTACCAAAAACAAAGCAGTATAATTCAGCGAACATAACCAAAACTGGGATTCCATGCAGTTTTGAACTCTACACGGTCTTCGACTTTGACACTTCAGGGCCCCTGGAGTTCCGAGTTCCAGAACTGTATGAAATCCAAAACTGTCCAGATTTTTTGACTTGAATAGGCATTCCTGATTTGGCCGAATAATTTCTGGCCGAAACTCGTGCTTCTTTAGCTTGTTCTTCAGGATAATGGCAAATAAATTAATGATTCGTTTATCGGACAAAATGCGATATGTATCACTGTGCCAGTGCTTGCCAGATGGATTCATATCCAGTGGCGAATCATTCTGCATGCAACTCCTCCAAGTAAGAAGTTGTGGAATTTTTCGAATTTGAAATTGCTTTTTCTGTTTTTTTATTTTTTTGTAACTTCTAATATTCTTTGATAATGATAAGCTTTTTTTCTTTTCGCAGGGCGAATTGTGCTTACTGTACCAGGCTGGAACCATAGCTATTTGGATATGCCAGCAGAAAATGCAGTCCTTTTGTGGTTCTTTTTAATGCTGAGCTGACTCATGCCAGAAGCCGAAATCGCCTTCACCTTAATCCCAAAATAGCTAACCAAAGAGAATATAAGCTCTGACGCCAGTATAACTAATTGGCTAATACTGCCAAAATTCCATCACTGGGCTATTTTCTATTATTTTTATTAGAACATCGAGTTTACACTGGTTTTGAATTATTTTCTTAGACAAATTTCATTTAAATACAGTGCTTCTCTCTAATAAGTTTTAGTGAAAAAGTATTCAAACAAATTTTTTTCTCGGAAAAAATTAAATTTTCAGAAAATCGAAGAACAAATCGAACAAAACGACAAAGAAGTATTTATTTTATTTGATAATTTCACCGCCTTCTGTGATTTGGTTGGTCTTCCATCCATTGTACCTGCATTTATACGACA